GCATTGGGAGTGGGGATTTAGGGGGGATTTGGCGGAGTGGCTGAGGGTGACCGTGGGAGGGAGTTGGGGGCATTGGGAGTGGGGATTTAGGGGGGATTTGGCGGAGTGGCTGAGGGTGACCGTGGGAGGGAGTTGGGGGCATTGGGAATAGGGATTTAGGGGGGACTTGGGGGGTGGCTGGGGGTGATGGAGGGAGGGAGTTGGGGGCATTGGGAGGGGGGATTTAGGGGGGAGTGGCTGGGGGTGACCGTGGGAGGGAGTTGGGGGCATTGGGAGGGGGGATTTAGGGGGGATTTGGGGGAGTGGCTGGGGGTGACCATGGGAGGGAGGGAATTGGGGGCACTGGGAGTAGGGATTTAGGCGGGGGGCTGGTTTCAGCCGCTGCAGGGACTGTGCTTTAGCTTCCACACCCACAAATCTGCCTCAGTCTCCCCGCCCCCTTTAGCCTCTCCAGCTCCCCACAAATCCACTGTTCCCCCCTAGGCCCTGCCCCCCGCCCAGAATGCACTGCATCCTCCCCCCCGCCCCCCTCGGTGTTCCCCCTTTCCCCGGGCGGGGCAGGATGGGTGGGGGGTGAATCAGCATTTTTCCGTGGGGGAAATTTCCCCAGACACACACACACACCCCGCCCGGTGTGAGTCAATGGGGATTTCAGGGTGGGGAGGGGCAGAGCAGGATGCTTGGGGAGGGGAGAGTGGGGGGGAGGGGAAGGGACAGGAGGGAAGGGGGCAGTTTAGGGGAGCCGAGCGTCTCTCCTAACCCCCCGCACCCCGTATTTAGGAGGCTGTGGCCCTTTAAACTCTTGGCCCCGCCCCTTCCCCTTTTCCGCCCGCGAGTCTATGACGTTCCATTTCGGAACGCGGAGACTGTGAGCGTTCGGAGCCGCCCCCCAGTCACACCCTGCCTGCACCGCGAGAGGTGAGCGTGGCTGGGCCGGGGTGGGCAGCGGGCCGGGGGGGCCGGGGAGGGGAGATCTGGGAGAGTCAGGTATCGGGGTAGGGTGGGGGGATTCTCCGTTGGGCGGCTGACCCCCCCACGTGGATGAAGGAGGGGACCCTGGGTCTCCCAAGCGGAACAACCCCCTGCCCCCGCTCGCCCCAGGGCCTGAAGCGCCTCCCCCCAGAGCCAGCTGCACCCCCTCATTTCCATCCTGCGTCCTCTGGGTGAGCTGGAAAGGGGGGGTCTGGATCCCCGACACCCCGCGGGGTTCCCCATCGCTGCCCCTGCGTTCGAAGTGACCTTGACCTCAGTCGTCGTCCCGCCCCCCCTGCCACAGGGTTCTGGGGTCCGGGCGATGCCCCTCCCCCCCCTCAAGGTCAGAGCCGCAAGGTTGTTTGTGGCATCTCTGGAATGCGAGCGGGGCGCCCCCTAGGGGCCAGCAGTGCCTCGGGCCCCCTCCCCGGTCCTGGGGGGACCCTCCCGGGGCGCCTGGGTCCCACTTCCCCCCACTGCTCCCCGGAGCCTGGGAGCTCTGCAGGGCCTGGGTCCCTCCCCGGCTTCCGCCCCGCCAGGGGCTCGGAGCATGGGGGAGCCCTACCCGGTCGCCTGAGTCCCATTTCTCCCCCAGCGTGGCAGGGCTGCCATGTGGGAGCCCCGGGCCCGCACGTCCGTCTGTCTGGGCGGGGTTAACCCTTCGCGGCCCGTCTCTCTCCGCAGTCACTCACGATGCCTCACCAGTACCCGGCCCTCACCACGGAGCAGAAGAAGGAGCTTTCGGACATCGCCCACCGCATCGTGGCCCCCGGCAAGGGCATCCTCGCTGCTGATGAGTCCACCGGTAAAGGGGCTATGGGTCGGGAGTGAGGGGCACCGGCTGGGCTGGCAGGGGCTGCGGGTTGGGAGTGGAGAGCACCGGCAGAGCTGGGGGGGGCAGGGCTGGGCTGGCAGGGGCTGTGGGTTGGGAGTGAGGGGCACTGGCAGAGGCTGGGGGGGGGCAGGGCTGGGCTGGCAAGGGCTGTGGGTTGGGAGTGAGGGGCACGGGCAGAGCTGGGGGGGGCAGGGCTGGGCTGGCAGGGGCTGTGGGTTGGGAGTGAGGGGCACGGGCAGAGCTGGGGGGGGCAGGGCTGGGCTGGCAG